CAACATGCTAGAGGACTCTCTGCTCAGCCCATATCCTCACAATGAGGAAAATAAAGCTGTTACAGCTGCGGTTCTTAGATGCCAACAAACCCTTCTGTCCAAAATATTTTCTTTTTAACAATAACAGGTGGAAGCAGCCTTTGGAGAGATTTTCCTTCCTCATGAGCATCATCATGCCAATAAGAACTAAACCTTCTCTGCTGCTTGGGGTCCTGGACAGCTGTTTGTTGAAGGTGGTGAACAAATATTAATTTCTGACAGTCTCCATCTAATGTCAGCTTTGTACCTGATAACTGGAAGCAATTAGGAAACAACAGGCAAGCTTCCAATGAGAAACATCATATTAGAACCTCACCCATGAGTGGTTACTTTCTATGCTCCTCTAGCAAACAGATGTGGGCAAACTGATCAAAGGAAATAAAGACTCTATTATCCTATTGAAAAGGAAGTTTAAGGTTTGGGGATCCTTGTGGTGAAGGAAAAAGGAGAGATATCCTCTCCCTGTCCCACAGATACATTGCTGCTGCCTACTGCAAACAACGGTGCTGCTTATGTGCATTACTGATGTGTTTCCTCTTGCTGCTCAGAGGAAAATCTGGCTGGAATTAAATCAATGGCAGGTTTCCAGCTCCTAATGCAACACCAGAGGCTGTGATTTCTGGTAAGCCAAAAGCTTTATAAGAATAATATCAGTTTTACAGAGCCAAGGGGGACAGGCAGGCAGGCAGGCAGAGAGAAGAAAGATGATTTCCATCCAAAACAGCAACAAATACAGACCACATTTTTAAAGGTTCTGCTGAAATAGGGCTGCAATCATGAGAGAGGCTACCACTCACTGCTCCATTTCTAGCCACAGAAGTGATTCTGAAACGACTAAAATGTAGCATGTTTCAGTAGCGTAGAAAATTAAGAAAACCTCTTTCTGGTTTTAGTTAGAATCTAAGAAAAATTAAAACACAAGGTATGTTTTTATTCTGTAGAAGTGCAAAACAAAAATGTAGGAGACATTTCTGAGCATACAGCGAGACTCAGAATGAAAACCTTCAGATGGACTAAGAAAAATGTTTTATCTTTAGCAGGCACACTTAAGAGAAGCAACAGGAGAAGGGAAAAAGCTAGATGAGGTTTCCAGTTTATTTCTGAGAGCAATCAACGTGGATGGAACATAAAAAAGTGAGTTCTCATGTTTCCTTCTCTGTGGAGAATCAAGGTCTTTCAATCAGCAATCCAAATTTGTATTGAAAGAAAAAAGTTACCAGTTTTTCCTACACAAAACAGGCTAATAATGTTCCCTGATTGAACGCGGAAATAACTCTGGTTTCTCCTGGATATCACCAGCTGATTTTCTCTCCCTTTGAGCTCAACAAACGCAGAGAAGAACCTGAAAACAAATCCATACTGACAAGGGACGACACCTGCCTTGTGAGGCCGCTTACCTGGGCCAGCAGGACGGAGGACACCAGGCTCAGCAGCTTTGTGTTCTGAATCCTATGGCAGGAGAGGCGCAGCCCATCGCAGGGTGCCATCTCTCTCAGGATGGCAGCACAAAGCAGCTGGATCTGCTCGGGGCACTTGGGTGAGCACAGCACAGTCTGCAGCAGCTCCACGAGTTGAGCATCCAGCCTGTGGGGTCAGCAAAGTGTTAGGAGCAGAGCTGCATGCTTACAGCCTGCACGTTTGTGCTGTTAGGATCATCTCCCTTCACAGCGACCCTGATTAATATCTTAATTATCATCTGAATTCCGTCCCTTAGCACAGCCTGTAACACAGCGCCCGTTACACTCGCTGTGAAGGGACGGTATCTGCAAGGGGAAAAACGAACAAACAGGGCTTTAACTCTTACACCGAGCGCACTGTTTACAAACTGGAGTGCTCCCTCAAGGCTCCAGCCCTCCCCTCCCACCTCCTCGGCTCAAACAACGCACGCTCTGCCTTCACCCAGCCGGCACTCACTGACGGGGGCTCTTGCTGGCGGCCAGGACGAGGTGCAGCCGCTGCAGGCAGTCCGCGGCCTCGGCGCCCGGCTCCGGGCCCTGCAGCTGGGCGGCGACTCGGGCGGCGAACCTGCTCAGCTCGTCCTCCTGCACCTCCCTGCGAGGGACGAGAGGACGTGAGGACCCGGCCCTCGCACACCCCGAGCCGCCCCGCGTCCCGCTACCTGGCCTGCTTCAGGAAGTTCTCGGCCGCCGCCGTGCCCATCCCGCCCGCAGTCCCCGCACGCTGTCCGCCCCCTCGGTCCGTCGCCAACGCGGTCCCCCTGAGCAGAGCGGTCCGCAGCGCCGGGCCCGGGGCACGCGGCGGCCCCGCGCGAAGGTTCCGCCCCAGGGACGTTCCGGGGACCGAAACAGCTGCTCAGCAGGTGGGGCTGCAGCTCCCTGACACAGCCTCCCCTGCTGCTCACAGCCCTGGGGCTCTGTGCAGCCCTCTGCCTGATGGACTCCTCAGCACTCATTAACAGCGTGCCTTGGCAATTAGCCACCGCGGCACCAGCTCCCTTTTACCCTCAGAGGCAGCATCCCTGAGCCCAGCTATCAGCAGCAGGGCGGAGAGGAGCAGCAGAGCTCTGGTTTTCCTGCCTTCTCCTCTGGCTGCACGCCCGGTGGGCACAGGGATGTCCCCACAACCATAAGCAGCCAGAAAAAAAAGAAAAAAGAAAAAAAAAAGGCTCTGCTGGGTGAACGTCTGTGCTGAACAGCATACTTTTTTTTTTTTTTTTTTTTTTTTTTTTTTTTTAAATAATATTTTAAACATGGAAGCGTTAATCGAATGTAGATAACTTTGTGTCAGCCGTGGTTTCAAAAACACTCCTATTCAAATTTGGAGCTCAGAATTAGTCAAAATAAACCAAGAATTTAAATTCTGGCTCCTTTATGAGGAATGACAAAAGCAATTGTGTAACTTGGGTACAGTGAGTACAGAAGAAATTTCTGTCACCATACACATCCACAAAACAATGGTTGTAAGTCTCAGGCAAAGATTCTGCTGCAGTTTGCCTCTCAAAACGACATTTTGTTTCACTTCTTGATGGAATGAAAACTACAGCGTGAGGACTGGCTGGTAACACCCACAGGGGGCATTACGGGTCTCAAACACATGCACAGCTACCTGGAGACTCTGAAACAGTGTCCAAACCTCCTATCTTATTCCATTTAAAAAGAAAAAGGAAAAAAAAAAAGGCAAACATACTTACCCAACCAAGTTTACCACAGGAAAAAAACACCTTCTTGGTCAGACAGAGTGGAACAGTGAGCTGCCAAAAATCATTGGCTCTGCGAGTGCAAAGTTCTGCATCTCATCTGACATCAGCCACAACTTGCTGAGACAGTGCTGCGTCCAGAGGGATCAGTTGCTGAGTTGAGGGAGGCTCAGCCTGGTTTTAAACCCCCTCAGTGCCACCCAGGGAGCGTGCAGGTCTGTCACTGGAAAGCAGCAAGAGATTTCAGGGCATCTTCTCTTTCATATATAATTTTATTTCTGGTTATAGAAACAAATGCTAAGAGGAGAAGCAACACTCCCCATCCACATACATCAAATTAAGGTAACAGAACAGTTGAAATAAATGAAAAAAAAAAAAAATAGTAGAAATTTTAAACTTTGTTATAGCTTTAAAATATTAATGTTCTTGGTACATTAGAAATCACATTCAGATCTCAAATCACTTAAAAAAAAAAAAAGAGTATGGCTCCATATTTGAAAAAAAAACAAAACCCACTGTATCCCATTTGATGCAGAAATGCAGGCTCTGCTCCTCAGGTGCTGGTTGTGCTGTCAGCACTGCTGGGATGCAGAGCTGCAAGGCGGCCTGGTGCAGGTGATGGACTTCCCAACTGCTGCCCCAAATGGAGCTCTTCCACTTGGGATACACACACACACCTTGCTTTTTAAAAAGCACTGATTGTGAAAACAAGTCACAGAAAAAAAAAAAAATAATAAAAAAAGTACTTTTGATATCAGTCTCAGAAAACAAAAGAAAACCCCGAACATCTTGCTGGAGGTCATACAGGCAGAACCAGGAACTGAAATGCAGGCATGGCTTTCTCCCCCATCGCAATTCCTTAACTTAAGTGCTGAATCCAGGTGAGAGGGGTAAGGCTCCTCGTAACAAAGCCAGTTCTGCTTCTGTCACAGCACTGCAGTATCCTGGTCCTCGTCCCACTGCAGCTTTCCCACATGACTCGGTGTGAATGCAATCACAGAATGGAGGGAGACTCCAACTGGCTTTTTTTTTTTTTTCTTTTAAAGAAAACATTCAGAATCTGACCAGGCCTTCCAGCTTTACCACCCATTGCTCACACAGCTTTGATTTATCCTAAGACAGCTTCAAACAGTTCTTTGGATAGCAGTCTGGACAAGGCCATCCCATCGGCACAAATGGCACACATGGAACCCAAGAGTACCACCTTGTAAAGCTGTTGTACTTTAAAATCATTCCATTTTCCACAATGTTACAATTGAACACTTTTTTTTTTTTTTTTTTTTTTTTTTTTTTTAACATTGCTTTCTTTTCCGTTAAAAAAACACCTTACAAAGAACAATACTCTGATTCTCTCTGCTTTAAGACCATCTTGTGGGCAGGAATACAGTGAATGTAGGCTTACAGCAATCCCCTGCTGCAAAACCAACCTGCCTTCTTAGCAGCCTGCCCACATCTGAGGAGCAGCACTCAGCACAGCAGAGCATCAGCATCTCCTGCACTGGACTTTTAGCAGCAAGGCAGCAGAACAGAAGGAAACATCACTTTTTCTGCCCCAATTAAATCACATTTTACTTGAGCTAACAGACATTTCTCCTCAACCCCTAGCTTTACGGAAGGCTCTGTTTCAGATTGCTTTCAGTGAAACTGAGATAGAAGTGAGACTGAATGGTCTGGATCAAGGATGCCAAGGTATGAGATGCTGCATGTGTTGCTTAACCCAGCAGCAGACATGAAGTAGAAATCAAATAATACAAAATAACAGGGGAAGGCTGGTTGTCACAAGGGCTTTTTTTTTTTTTTTTTCCCCCTTTTCTTTTTACTTTCTTTCTACTGAGAAGGAAAGAGGAAAGCTGTTTCCTTTCACTGCTCCTATTCTGGTTCCTCCTTGTCACACCTTCATACCCTGTTCTGCCTCAAATATCAAAGCCCAACCACCAGACAGTGAGCAGAAACCGAGGCAAAGAATTTGCACAGGTCCTCACAAAGGAATTGCTGCTTTGGTAAGAGCTATTCAGTTTAGGAAGCCCAGTATCACGTGCTTTTGAGAATAGTTCTCACAGCCCCAAGTAGGTCAAAAATGCATGTTTCTGAATTTAGCATCCTGGAGTTAAAGCAGGACTGAAATTTGACAGGTTAGGGAAAATTTATTCTCTGTGAATAGAGACCTCATACCCCATAAAGAGAGGGAAGTGCAAAAGGAGAAAAATCTCACCATGAAGAAACTGATCCTCTGTGCCCCAGTGACAGTTCACCTGCCTGACAGACAGACAGAGGAGTTCCTCAGCCTCACAGCATCCTCACAGACCCTCCATCAGTTCCCTCTGTTAGCAATACGGTCCCATTACTTGCACAGCAAAAGCGTAAAGAACTCCTCGATACCACATCTAGAGATAATTTGAGACAAGAAAGGCTTCCAGCTTTCATTAATGCCATTTGGGGGTTTTCTTGCCAGAAAAGCAGCACGGATTGTGGGTGGCTGAGTGCATGACAAAGCCAGGAGCTCCTACACAAGGAAGATGCAAGCACTGCACCACCTCATCTGCTCTGCGAGAGTGATGACAGCAGTCAGTGAAGGAAAGCTGCTTCTGCAGGCTGCCCACATCTGTCACACAAATAGGTACATCGTTCTTTCCAAATCAGTGCCTGGTGCAGGAATTTATCAATACATGGTATAAAAGTCTGTGTAAAGTACCATTAAAGAGAAAGAAATAGTCACGGACCATTTATATATCTATATTTACACACACACACATTAATAAATATAAAATTTATGTTTACACAGATCTAATTTAATATTCTCTGGAAAAAAAAATATTTAAAGAGTTTCTACCTTAGCTGCCACCCATGAATTGTCAGTGGGTTCTTCTATCTTGAGAGCAAAGGGGTAGACTTGGCACAGATTCTTTCTGAAATGTAAAGTGACACACGAGGAGAGGACCAGCCAGACCTTCTGAAGGCTTTAATTCAGGGGTGGTAAATCAGAAAGGTATCAAAAAGCATAGATATCAAAGTCGATTAAAAATTTGGAATTTAAACAACAGCGTTCCAAGAAAACCCCGATATTGTTCAAAATGCCTTGCTTAGGACAAAATAAAACGCTCACTGCTCTATTACTGCCCTGTGAAAGACATCTAATAGAGAAAGCCCACCATCTCAGCCAGGTGCATTCACTGTTGCTTACTACACGTGCACAGTCCTGCAAACAACCAGCAGTGTGTGCTGCTCTAACCCTGGCAGCTAGCTGCTGGGCACAGAGATGCTCCAGCACAAAGCTACTTCTAGGCAGGTCCAGACCAACATGCAAGCACTGCTTCATCCTCATCAGCTCCAGCCAGCCAGATGACATTGTAGTGATTGTTTTTTCCCAGCACAGCTGGCTCCATTGCGAGCTACACTTCATGACAGTAGTGTATGCTACAGTAATAGCAGCTTTGGCATAATTTTTACCCAGAAGGAAACAAGAAGTTACATGATTGAACCATCTGTTGTATAACTGCAACCTAACGTACAGATTCTCACCAGATGCAGACCTTCAAGCAATTGCATTAAGTTAGGAGCTGTATTAAAGGTCTCCGGAGTCAATAGAAACAGCTACTAATATAGGGGGAAAATTGTGGCAGAGAGAGGAAATGGGAGCTTGACAGAGAGCCTGTCTGACAAGGGGAAAAGATCATCTGCCCTCAAAAGCCCAAAGTAAGGACAAAGCTGTGAAGCCAAGTCAACACCTTTAGAGCTTCCTGCTTAATGCCAGAGTCCAACCTATGAGCAGCAGGACTGGCAAACATGTGAGATTTTGCATCAGCACAGAAGCTCAAGGTAAGATCCCACTGGAATGAAATTATCTATCTGATAGAGTGAAGCATGGGCAGTAAGAAGTGATCAGGATCCCACAATACTGCCTCCAGTTCAAAAAGCTGCAAGAACCAATTTGGCACTTCAACAGAATAGTTGAAAGCGTACAAATGCAATGCAGAGTATTTCCAGCCAAACAGGGCTGTATTTGCACAACACAGCCAGCAGGCCAAGGAAAGTGGTTCCTCTTCCACCCCAATCAGCATTTGATACTGCCTCTGGAGTACTGCGTGCAGCTTTGGGCTCACCAGTACACAACAGAGAGGGATCTTCTATCAGAATTCTACCTTGCAGGCTTGAGCACCCAAAGTGCAGAAGAGGTGGAGATAACCAGGCTGCTGTGTTCAGAGGAAGCAGCAAAGCAGGGGGTAAGTCTTACCCATGCCTTCAGCTGCCTTCTTGGGAGATGCAGAGCAAGGCTCTCCTTGTAGGTGTGTAGTGATGGGAAAAGAGGCATTGACATGGAGGGATGCAAAAACCTTTCATCTCGTGAGAGGAAGGACGAGAGCTGTGGAAACTCCATCTAGAGGCATTTATAACTCAGCTGGATGTGGTCATGGCGATCTGATTTCATCAGACCTGCTCTGAACATGAGGCTGTAGCACAGACATCCAGAGGTCTCTTCCAGACCAAATTATTCTGCGTTTCTAGGCAGCTACTGGCCAGTAGCAGAGACAGAAACCTAGACCTGAGATCTGATCTTCCCTAACATTGCAGTTTTACATGATTTACATTCATCAGTGATAAACTATGATTTAGGAGAGACAGTTTAAATCTGAAAGACAAGGAAGATGGAAACAAGCAACCAGTTTGAATTTAGAGATTAAACGCAGTAAGACTGAGGAAACAGCTTTTGATCCAGCAGGAAAAGTCCTGAGCTATTCCTAAATTAGACCCTTGTATTAAAGACCCCAAATCCAGGTGCAGCAGGGAAGTGCTTCTCCTTTCACCCAGCATTCTGGCTCTCACCTACACACTAGTGCACATCAGAGCAACACTGAACACCTTGCTAGGAAACCCTCTTACTAACACAGACAAAAGGCTCTAACTTGAACTTAACATCCCCGTCAGTCAGAGGAAAGTGCTCCACATCATCCCACGGGAAGCTCAGGTCAGCCACTCTCACTTGCTTAGATACAGCTGTATAATCTTTTGTACTTCATATTGTGTTTTACTGCTGGCATTTCCCTATTGAAAAAGGGGAAAAATGTGGAATGACAGTTACAAGTACACAAGACAGATGTCTGAAACACGTGCAAACCAAGTTTATTCCTTCCCAGTATCTGGAGCCAGACCACAGCACTGATTGCAGGAGCACTGCAAAAGCATCAGCTATTATTTAACTTCTTCTCTCACAAAGCTTTCACGTGGTTCTCACAACACTCTCCTAAACAGACTGTGTCCAGCATAACATTTCTAAAACACATAATGAAAGTTAACGTAGAGTGACTAAATTGACCTTTTGCATCATGCTCTGGACCTACACGTATCCCACAGGTATTTTCATCCCTGTGTCCTTGGATAGAACTTAAGCAAGGTGCTGCTTCAGGCAGCGGATAACAGTGAGAGTGTTTGCTACAAGGGACAGAATTAATGGCACGGGGGAAGGAGGGAGATGGAGAGAATAAGTTGTTGAGAATATATGAGCTAATCGTGGACTCCATCTCTGTGTTCAGCACTGTGTTGTTATCACTACATCAGATTAAATGATCTCACTGTAAAAAAAGCTTCCTGTCTCACAAGAACCACGGTCAAGACAAAACAATAACAAAGGAATTCAGATGAAAAAAATCCCAAACAACTGCATTCAGCTTTTGTAAATGGAGGCAACGAAAGTTGCTATAAACTGACCACAATCAAAGGAAAATTAGTCTGTCAGAGGCACAGTGAAAAGAGAACTCACGTGTTATGAAGCCAGTTTGAAAATCTTCTTAGGTCCAAGTTATAGGAGGTTAACTAATCAGCATGCCTTGACCTTTGTTAGACAGGCAGCAGCAGATGCAGCAAAATGCCCTACTCCTCTCCCCACCAAAGCTCTCTCAGCAGCACTGTAACACAGAAATCCCAACGGGCTGCACCATGAGATCCAGGCACCTCCAGCAGATGGCTGAACAGATCAGAGAGATTTGCTTGTGGCCAACTTGCACTTAAACCACAAGGCACTCTGAGCCACACAAAGAAGACTGAGAAGGCATTATTCTGTTCCAAACACAGAGGAGGCAAATCTATGGAGTCAACCTGAGGACAGACTTAGAGGTATCACTAAAATAGCAGCTGGTTTACAAGAACACCACAATGCAGCTGATGTATTGCTATGGTGCTGGACTAGCATAGAGAATGTTCAGTCCCAATGACTTAGAATTTCTAAAAGGAAAGCAGTAATAAGGAAAAATTTTGCCACAGAAATTTGGCAGCTTCAGACAGTACTCTGCTGGTTGTTCATCTTGGGCTGACTCACCTAACAGTGCTGGAAAATCAAAGACTGCTTCAGGAAAGCTCTCTTAGCCTCAGGGCTGTTTCAGAGGTGTGCCTGGATCGAAACAGCATTCATCTGAATGTAATGATTAATTACGGATGAACTATGCTGCACTCTCCCTCGTACCTTCTTCCTTGAAGCCCGTTTTATTGAATTCTGCCTTGAAAAGGCTACAGAGAAAACAGAGCTGATGTGTCTCTTTTCCAGTCTGCTGCACCTGGTCCTCCTGACAGGAAACATAACAGCTAGAGGTTGGCCTGCTTCAATTTGTGGGCTGGAACAATCCTCCACAAGAATAATTTCCAAGTACTAAAACACAGCCTAATAACTTGGCACTGAAGGCACACAAATTATGGAGGCCGAGCTGTAGATAAATGAACTGTCCCAAATACTTTTGCAGGCCCACGACTGTAGACTGTGACCACAAATCATGAGACCACAACATTCTTTCTTACTTTCAGAAATATTTCTCACAAAACAATTGGCTTGAGAATAAAATGCACTTGGGTTTTATTCAAATGGTGGGACAGAGCTATTGAATAGGATTTGGCAAGCAGAAGGGAAACCTAGAAGGGAACAAGTGATGCTAGATGCTACTGCATGGATTTTCTCCCCCTCTTCAAATTTCATCAGACGTGAATTGCTGTGGTTTAACCTACCAAAGCCATACACCCCATCCCCATTAAGTCACTTTCTCCATTAATAAAGCCATAACATTTTCTAAGTCATAGGGTCTCTGCTGTGTTGCCAGAAGACAAACGAACCAAGGGGATCACACACAAGTGTAAAGCTGAAGGGGTCAGCTGGAGCCATGCAGAAGCTGATTCCTTTGCCAGTCACAGGTTCCACACACACCCACTTCTCCACTCAAGTCTGCTTTGCTTGTAAGATGTACTACATGAAGAGCCTGGAATACAGTTTAAACAATCCCTCCTTTTACTGGCCAACTCAAACAGTCTTAAAGGTAGGGCAGACAGGAGAAGGAGCTGAAGAATGAAAGGAAGCCTCTGAATTCCTTTTGGAAAACCTGTTTAATACCTCCAGTGACTCTTAAACATGGAAAATAAAAGGTCTCTTTTGCTTTGGTCTCTACACACAGAATTTCTACTAAATACTATATGAGCTCTGGTGCCTCTCACACCTGCCCTTAATTTTTCTCTCAGAAAAATAACAAAGGAGCATTGCTATCAGCCTCTTCCACCCACGAGAGAGAGTTGGACACAGATTCCTACCCAGCTCTGGCATCCTGAACATCATCCATGTAGCTGAGGATGACACTGCCAGTCAAGGTGAAGGCAGACCGCTTCAGTGCAGGAGACCAGGCAACATTTTCTTAGGTTTATGGGGACAGTGGCTTTGATATCTTTGATCTGCAGTGCTAATCTGAATAGACCCTGGTGCTGGAGAGCACAGTATGTGATCACAAAAGTAATATCAAAAACACATACAACCTCTGAGACACCCTTCCCCACACAATCCTCAGACATTAAGATACTTGGGATGTTGTCCAAAGCAAGGGATGAATAACTGTAAGAAGTCACTGAAGGTACAAAACCTTTTAATATCTTTACAGGAACCAAATTAACACAGTTCCTCTGTCATCTCATTCTCCCTCAGAGGAAATGGAGAGAAATTGCATCTGGAAATCCAGGAGGTTGAGCTGTGCAACTCTTCCTCCTGAATCTCCTCATAAATAAACATTCATTAATACTCAGATTTTTTCTGTTTTAGAAAAAAATTAATCTGCCTTTTTCTTTAAGCTTGGTACCACGTTTCTTTAATGCTGTTGTTGTGAGATACTGCACCCATTTTTCAGTATTTGACTGCCTTAGCTGGCCTTTTAAAAATGGTCCTACATTTCAAAGCTCGGAGAAGCACAGTATTAAGGCATTTCCAGGGAGCAGAATGTATCTGTGTTACATTCCTTTAGATGCTGAACTGCAAATCCCATCCCCTTGGAGCCAAAAGGGGAAAATACAGTTAAAAAAAAATCCCAGCAGTCATACAATCAGTTGTCTGTATTTTTTTTTTTTTTTTTTGAATCTTTAAAAAACAAAGAAGAAAAAAAGGAAAAAAATATCCCATAGGTAAAGACAGAACAGAGTTCCAGGTACTGGTGCTTGGGAGGGGTTTTCCATTCTTGTCTTTTTGGCACCTTGTGATTCTAACAGCTGTTGACCTCCCATTTTAAAAAAAATCTGACTTTAAAAAGAGCTCTTTATTTGCTATGCTTAGAGCTGTTACAGTTGTGGTTTGTTTTCTTTGAAAGCTGCTTTAGGGGCTGCTGCCATCCCATGCCCACCCCACACCACTCCAGCTCCTCCCACCGGTTCTTCATTCACTGGTTGCCTGTCCTTGTGGCACTGTAGATGTGATGACTCCAGTTTGGGCCTGGACTGCTCCGCTGGACTCTTCTATCCGAGGTCTTTTGACTTCAGGTTCACTGGAAGAGGCTGCTGCTGTCTCTTCAGTCCCTGTCTCACATACCCGGCTGACTACAACAGGAGTGGATGAGCTGGCCTGGGCTGCGAGAAGCTGCAAAGGATTTGTAAGAGCTGGGAAGGGAAAGAAAAGAGAATCAATGTGGTAAGCAATACAAGTGTTTGTCACTCCAGGAAATAAAGCCACCACAGTCAAATGCAGCACCTCGGCACGTATTCAAAAGTGTTCCAAACCATTCTGTAAGGCTCGTTGGCCTCGTTTGTCCCCCCACAACAATCCCAGTTTTGTGCAAGTTCACCAAACTGGTAATAACCTCTTTCAATGGTGAACTTTTTTTTTTTTTCCCTCCCAATCCATTGTCAAACACAGCATTAACAGTGAAATATTCACCTCCAGAAAAGGAGGATCAATCCTCTGCCAGAATCACAGCACGCCTCTTGGAGAAGCAGTTCTTTAGCTACCTAAAATCATACCTTCTTGCAAGCTACAACATGTGTGTTGCACCTATGGTATTGAGGGCTCTCCTTATCCCATCTGAGACTGCCAAGAAGACAGCTGGGGCAGAACTTGCACATAAGAACAACCAGTCTGTTGGGACACTAGATTACAACCCAAATATTGACTGTACTGACATCTCTCTCATCAAAGGGGCAGGAAGGTTTTACAGCTTACACCAGACAATCTAATATGTTCCCACTAGAACTGGAATCCAAACTTTGGAATTTCTGGCTCCCTATCTTGTATTTCAGTACTGACTAAAGTCTCCTGTCCTCCCATTAATAAAAGTGGTGAGAAAAAGAAGACTATTTAAATAGCAGCTCTGTGTAAAAACGTCTACAATTCCTCGTTCCAGACAAAGAATGTGCTTACACACTGGCTTTGGCACACATCACCACTTGGAAAACAAAACACATGCAGGTTTTGGACTCTGCATCAATAAGAAAAGCAGCCAAAGGGGACTCAGGAGACAGCACATCCTCTGCCCTGCAGACTGATTTGCAAAGGATGGAATAACAGAACATTACGGTGCGCTCAGTGCTACGAGCATCAAAAAGAAGCCTTAAGATAAATAAACAAAGGAAACAGAACAAAGGCCCTCAAAGCCCAGAGATTTCTTCCAATGCATGGGAAGAAGGCTACACAGTATCAAGAGGATGAAAGAGAGAAATAGGATAAGGATGTGGGCAGAGACCAACTACAGTTTAGTGACTGAGAAAGTACCTAAGCCTTGCAGCTGAAAAGAAGCTGACTTTGTACAGATGAGTCGAGAGATTCAGGCTCCATTTTGTTAACTAGAAAATTCACTACCTATTACAAAAAAACCTAAACCCTTAGACACAACTGGAACACTTCTAACATAATGAGAGAGCTAGAAAAATAACTTGCTGAGATCAGAATATCTTAACATAAATGCAAAATAAAAACTGACTCTACATTAGAAACACTACTGCAGGGTAGTAAGAACTGCCACCTGCTTTATTTAATATCTTTGCTGCATAAAAACCTTATTGCTATTAATTTCTCATTGCTCCAATAAGATTCTTGCAATTCCAAGTGCAAGCTACATTTTCTGCCTTAACAGAAAATTCTGTAAAATGTTCCTATTCTGCTTTAAAGAAGTCATCAAAACCTCACCAGTGCCCTTCATTTCCAACTCCCTGTAAGCATCAGCCTGGGCCAGCAGAGATACTTAGAATCCCACTGATAGGGACAGCAAGAAGCCTGGATATTACCACCCTCAGTCATCATCCTTAACTGCACAAAACCTGAGGTGCTGAGCAAGCACAAAAAAAGACTGCCAAGACACAGCCAGTATGAAATTTTAAAAATCAGGGTTGACAAATGACTGCAACACATCCTGTATATAAACAGTCCTGCATTCATTCACCTGATGAAATACATCTTATTTCTCTCAATCTCTAAGACCTGAAGAAGGGAAAGTATGTTATTTTCTTAATGCTCTATGGAGCCATATTTCACAAGATCTAAAGAGCACCACTGAAATTTTATTATTTGGCATGCTGAAAGCAAAGGCTATTTGTCAGAGGAAAATAAATGAAAAAGCAGAGGCTTAATGAAAGAATCACTAACACTTTCAACTAGGAACCCCCAAAAGCGTAAGTAGCAATACATGCATAGGCAAGGGCAAAGAGAAATTGGACTTCCCTGAAACAAAGGTAGGTAGCAAAACTTATCCATCAAGGAGACCTGAGCAAACACAGGTAGACTGTATCTATCACTGATGTTTACAACCACAGAAGTTGCCAAATTGATCACCTTTGGCACTGAACACGTGGAATAACTTGCATAACTAAGAAGAGAAAGACCTCATAACTTGACAACTAAACTGCAAAGCTTGGAGAGCAATCAAAACAAAGCTTACCATAAGCACTGCCGGTGATGCTGTTGGTGGGGACAGCATGTTTGCCGTTCTGGGTGACCGCCCGCACGGGGAGCTGATGCTGCCCAATGGTCACTGGAGCTGCCTGCTGAAGGATTGTGACAGTCTGTCCTGGAACACCCTGTGCCATCTGACTGGCAACTGTCTGAATAACACGGCTGGCGGTGGGTATCGTGGCAAATGCGATCGTCGGCTTTTCATCCATACCTGCTTGGAGAGCAGAATAGACAACAATTATTTAGCACCCAGCTGGTCTAGGAGCAGGTTTTCTTCTCATTAATGTTGCAGCAGTAATACATACCCCGGGCTTACAAATGTTTAAATCCTCAGCACCACAAAGTCACTTGCCTTTGATGTGTCTTATAATGTTTATAGGGTGGAAATGGAAAGCACTGCTTCACAGGTTTTCAGCTTAGTCACAATAGTAACATATTTGGGCTCCAAGGAGCTCAGGATTCCTAGAGGCCTAACCCTGTGAGAATTGCTTTAGGCAAGATCAGGCTCTATGTACACATTTTCTGTGGGTTGACTCATGTAGTCATCTCTGAGAAGGTAATGACTCACTCACCTGCTCACTGCAAACAGGGACATAAGAACAGGGTCTATCAGTCCCTCTGAAATGTTCTTTTTGAAGCTTATCAGAAACCAGGGATGAATATTTGAAAACACTAAGTTATGTATAATTACTCTAAACATATTAAGAATTTTTTTTTTTAATAGCATAAGCCACCCAGCCAAAAAAAAAAAAATCAGGACTGTAAATTAGATGGACCATAAGCAGAGACTTGCAGAAAGAATGACTGGAAACAAGAGCAGAAAAGGCAAGGAAAGCTTGGAAATTAGGAAGGAAGAGGTTACAAGTGGAAATAAAATGGACAAATAGGGAAAGAACAAATGACAGCATGAACAGTGAGTGAAAGAAGGGAGCAGGTGACAGGCAGCTGCAACTGTGCTTCAGCAACATGAACAGGATATAGATAGGAATTTCCAGAGAATGTGAATGAAATTCAAACATAATAACCAGTGCTGAAACAAAAAGAGCCAACGATCCTGGCACTGCTGTAGAGGAGGCCTTTGTTGTAACTGGTATTTGAAGGTTGCTTTCATGAAGTACCACCTACAAGTTCATGAAGTACATGCTTTCCCCTAGGAAACTGAGCTGGCAGAATAGAAACACCATCATTTACTGACGAGGACAGCCTGAAGTTTCAGCCCATCTCTCATGCCATCAAGCAGCATCCATGGCATGTCCAAGGGAATAATACACATGCATAATACCAATACAGGGGCTAACAAATATTTAAAGCACTTCATGTTTTTTCAATCTTCATAGCCTGTTAGATTTGCTCTCCAAAGATGACAAGGGAACACAGTACTCCTGCTCAGTGGTGGAAATAGCCTGATGAACTCCTACTCAAGTTTATCTAGACAAGCATCTTTTATTAAGGGCTAAGCACCCAGTGAGTGAAACTGATGTCTGACTCTCCCCCACACTCCAAGCCTGCTTGATTTATTAGTGAAGTAGCAAGAGAAGTGACAAGCTACCTCGGTGGTCACCAGCTAAGTCCAACACTGCTCCTGCAGCTTCATGAGCTCCTCCTGCTGTGCCCTGGTTTGTGAGGATGTATCCGTTTGCAGAGTTTGCAGAGGAGGTCACAACTCGAACCATTGTAACAGTGGGAGCTTGTTGAACGACGTGAATTGCATGACATGAAGGCTGTTGAGAAGTCACTATTGATGCTGGCATGTATGCAACTGGTTTTGCCACCAGAGTAGATGGCCGAGGAGGAGGAACAGCCATAATCACTGGCTGGGCACTGACTGGGGATCCTAAACAGAGAACAGAAACATGCACAAATAGAAGAGGTTAAAAAACACGGAAAAAAGCTTCTACACGTTTTACCTGTGCACTTTCTATATCTGTAGTATTTAATCCTTCAGAGGCAAGATGTGAGGGTAGGTAAAAAAAAAAAAGATTTTGAAAATGTCATCTCCAGTTTTTTATTTACTAACATACAAAAACCCAAAATTGATATTTTAGCACTGTTTTGTGAACAAATACCATGATAAACCCCCAAACACGAGGCTTTACATAATGAGCTTTGCCTTCCAACTAACTTCAACAGGAACACCAAGGCCAGTTGTACAGCTGACAAGCAGTACTTACCTGGGGGCTAGTATTATCAAGGCTCTGGCCACAGCACCGTGGAGCTCTGCATAGGCAAGGTGATCTTACCATGAAGCCTTGAAAATTACCGAGTGAGCCATGCACTGCCATGGCTACTCTGCTGTGAGTTCCTTAGAGACACATAGATTAAGGTTTGCTCGTGTGTTTCTATACATTCCTTTACCTCCTGCCCCTTCGCACAAAGGCTAATAAGAAAAATGATCTGAAGTCGCACATGCAACTCTAACAAAGTCCAAGACTTAAATCCTCCTACAACAAACTGGCAGGAACATTCCTGCAGCGTTCCCAGCATAGCACTGAGCACAGTGGAAAGTCACCTGCTGTGAAACAAGAGCTACTCACCAGGTGCACTCTGTGAATACCGATACTCCGGAACTGAGGCTAATTTTGACCCAAAGTCGTGATCGTGTGGAATGGGTGAGCCTTCCCTTGACAGGCACTCTGGAGTCTGTAGGCCACTAGAGTGAGGGGACAGCAGGCCAGGGTGAGTTGGGGAGGCTGGAGCACTCCTGGAACACCAGAACACACTGTTGGCAGGTGTAGATGTATTTTGACCACAAGACAGCAGCAGAGACCAAGCTTTGTCCCCATCAGAGGACCCTTTGAGAAGAAAGATAGCTAGTCTCCCACATTTCTTACCCACTACAGTCTTGCTGGGAAAAGCTGAAAGGCGCCCAGTAACCCCACTAACACTCTAGCACCAAATACAGTCACAGCATTCCTGGCTGAAGGCAACTGGACCCTTCAGAGTATGGTTATCATTTCAAGACTAACTGCTGACAGAGAAGCCAAACGTGCCTCACGTTCAGACCAGTTTTGCAGTTTCAGGCCATTCTCAAAGGATGTTTGTCAGTGTTTGAGAGAGTAGGAGAAAAATGCACAGTAGATGCAAGTGGCCGGACCCATATGCACTCAGCTGAGCTGTTGCTACTCCTTCCTCAACCATTTTTCACTTCTGGTCCCGCATGGCCACTAAATGCATAAGGAACTCAAACACAGAGCTGCTAATCAGCTGAAAATCTCTACTTGTTTTTCTCCATCTTAGACAGAAGGAATGTGAGGAGTGCTACACAAGGCTGCTCCAGCTAGGGCTACACTGCATTAACCCCACAGCAACAGGGCTCAGAGAAAGCCCTGCTCCTCTTAGCAGCCCCATCATTGGCTGGAGCACTTACACAGAACGGCCCCCATTGCTTAAAGCCACAGTCAACGTGATGTTCCCTATAAGAGAGAGCTTTAAATACCACAAAAGTTATCCCCACTGTGATCTAATCCACATATAAACACAGCTTTCCCAAAATTAAAGACTGGCATCTGGAAACATTTACTGTTTTGAATTTCTTTGAAATGATACCAAAGCAGATACGTTATTTGATGCATTTGTAGTTTGGTTCTGTTTTTTTTTTTTTTTTTTTTTTTTTAAACACTTAAAGACAGAACAATTTTCAGATTATGCCCCAGGACTACTTAATTATATTACCATTCAAAAAGCTATAAGCAGAATTAAAGTTTGCTCACTGTACTTCAGGAGAAGGTTGCTTGTTTTCTTTGCAATGAGTTCAGCACAGAGATTAGAGGAGAGTGATGTTACCTGGAGGAGAGAGGCCCAAAAGGTGTTCGGAAGCAGGACACTCCTCTTTGCCTTCGTTTTCTAAAAGCTTGTTCTACTAGTTTAGCTTCAGAGGCAGGGTCAATCCGCCAAAAGGAGCCCTTCCCAGGTTCCTCCTGGGAGCGTGGGACTTTAATAAAGTAACGGTTCAAGGAGAGGTTGTGCCGAATGGAATTCTGCAGGAAGCACAAGAATGAGGTGATTATTTCACCGTAAGGAAGCACGTAACAAAGGCAAACTGATTTTGCCACACAGCTCGGAAAAATAAGATCTATGCTGCCCAGAACAGTGCTGAAGATAGAAACAAGTCACTTAACTCAGGGAGCTCCGAAATCACGGGAGAAATGCAAGAGAAAATCTGGGGAAATAATGAGACACAGAGCTCCTAGTAACCATACAGAAATGTGGGTTTGCTCAGCACTATACAATCACTTGAATATACCTGGAGTCAGCAAGTACAGTAGCTTTGCTATGGAAAAGAATGAAAGCAGAGCTTCTGCTGAGGCAGGGGGAAAGCAGTGTAAACCACATCAGAATTCTCTCAAGACAGGTTGCATTCAAGGCAAGACGAAGAAACTGTTTGAGCTTGTGCTAACTGCTTACCTGCAAATGATCACTGGGATGCCCAAACATGCCCTAAAGGACATTGCATCTCAGGGTAATTGTAATGTAGGCCAGACAGCTATCTGAGAAGAATCCATTATTGATGTAGCACTAGTCTAGCACCATAAGCTCTCCAGATGTTGGCAGGACTAATTATCCTTGTCACTGACAAAACCCACCTGAGCAGGTTTAACACTGTGTTTTGGGCCAGGGAAAGGCTCAGCAAGCCCAAGTACTCATAAACTCTTTTCTCTTCTGCTTTCATGACAAAACAGGAGCTTTTGCAGCTACCTTAGACAAGCTCTTCACAAGAAAAGCCTTAAAGTGGTACTGGTTGGGTAGAAAAAGGCAACTTCACCCTCTCCTGAAATGCAGCTGTCTTTAAACCAGGATGCAGCAACTGCTTCAAGGAGCACAGCTCTGCTGAGCAGGTTAAGGCAGGAAGTGAATACCACAATTAATTATAACTGTGGGGAAAAGCCAGGGAGGCAGAACATATCAATTCCAAATGTAGTCAAAGTGCACCAAGCCGTGCTGCTCCTGCCAGCAGAACACAATGAAATCAGCAGCTGCAAGAGTCTTTCCAGCTGCATTGGTGTGTTATATTCAAATGACAACACCCATTTCAGAGGTGTGATGCCAAGAACAAGCCTGAAAGCAGGTGGAGTTGTGGTTTCTGAGACTTTGAAAGCAGCCCTCAAGTTGAACATTTAAGTCTGATTTAGCATGTGTTAACTACATCCAAGCTCTCCTGTGAAGCTGGTCAGATTTCCTTTCATACCACATGAGGAGCTTTCAGCCTGTGCTTTCCAAGTCCCTGTTCTGAGATTCAAACCCTGGAAACTCTGATTTAGGCAACGCAGTAGAATAAACTGGGAAAAGAAAACACCTGTGATGATTTAAGGCTGTGTTATGACTTAAAAACAGGACTTTGGTGTTAGGCTGGACATTTGTTTGGACAGATCATTCCAGAGGAAGACACAGGTAACTATCTGGGCAAGGGTGTTACTGATAGTAAGGATGTGGAAAAATAAATAAAGAAACAAATGTGAAAGACAGATGATTGGAATCAAAATTGTTTCAGAAAACAGCCCACTGGTAACACTACATCACCCTAGAAAGTATTTACAAAAGATAATCACCCACAAACAAATTAGCTAGCTTATGTTAAACAAATTCATTCTGGGAACAGTCAAAGCAGCTCTATTCTCAGTGCCCCAAAACGTTATTAAGTGTATTTCAAAGCAGATAAGACCTGTCAAAGTAGTTTAAAAACTTGTCATATCAAGAACTCACCTGCCAGCCTTTGTCAGCAGTCCTGTAGTATGGATAATGCTTGGTAATGTGGGCATAGATTCCACTTAGTGTTAATTGCCTGTCTGGTGCTGAAGATATAGCCTGCACAATTAGCTGAGCATAAGAGTAGGGTGGCTTGGACTCATCCTAAGAAAAAATATGAAAGTTTAGTTATTTCCTACACTAGAGTTCATCAACAACCCCATGTCATAAAGCATGTTAGGCTGTAGTTTCACAGATGCAGAAAGAGCACAAGGATGGGCAATTAAAAACATCATCTCTTTCACTCCTGCTTCATGCTGCCACCCCCCAACACAGCACAAGTATCTGTGTACAAACAGAACCAGAGGATTAAACCAGATCAAAGAATCTTGGCATCCTTTCCCCTCCCCCCGCCCCAGACACACACAAAAAGGGTAACTTCAACCTGGCTCCATTCTCCACTGGATTTGTGATGTGCTTATACCGGCATGAGGAACAGAACAAGGATGAATAATTGTAAGCAAAGAGTTACAGGGTGTAGGGCACTGCTCCCAGTGTTCATGAAACTGAAGCCTTCAATCCCACTCAGCTACAACTAAAGCTTTGCTAGGCTCATGCAAGTATGCTAACCAGCTCTCCTCCTAGCAACAAGCCCAATATGAAACTTAATTCTGTTCCTTCTATCTCCAGCAGGTTTAGTTTCATTCTAGGAACTTTAACTCATTTGACAGATCTCGTATTCCTACATTAGTCCATCAAGAACAGCCTTTCTTGTATATTGGATTCTCCCTTGAGACAAGAATTCATCTAGTGTTGTGCTTCTCCACCCAATCTCACGTAAGGTGGTTTTGAATCTACATCTTTAACTTTGATCTGAAGACCAGCTCACCAACATGAAATGTTATCAATTTAACTCAAGTTATTTTTTAATCTAAATTTCATTGTTGCTCTCCTCGTTTAATGCTTGTTTGACAGGCATGTGTTTGTTTTGAAGTCTGACTGCACATTTCTCATAGCAAGGATCCAGTTTCTCCCCCCTGCTTCCCTTTTCCCCAGTTGTGTTTTGCAAAATGCCATTAATTAAAAGGAGAAATCAAGACTGAATTTTAATGCTCCTCTATATGGGTTCTTGATTTATCAAACAAGCAAGACAAAGTATTCCTGCTCAAGCCTTTTAATGAATGGCTTGCACACATTTCAGACAGCTAAGCAAGCAGATTCATCATCTAGCATAAAAAGATGCTGCTTTGAAGCCATGGTCTCAAAACCCTGGAGGATAACACACACAGCACCCTTATGGCAGAGGTATTCTTAGACCCATTTAACTACACTCCACACTTCCAGGTCTTAAGCTTCCCAATGAGCACGGCTGGGTAAGTAATGTTTCTCTGAACCTTTGGGCTGTCCCCGCCAGATGCATCTGCCTGCTGTTCTGATGCTGCTTTTGCCGCATACTCTGCTGCCAGCTGCAGATCCGAGGTAATGTTGTGAACAAAACGATATCCTGAGGATCCAGCACCGCGTGGACTGGCCGGGCAAGAGTTGGGTACGCTGAAAAGGCAAAGAGAAAGTACATTTGTTACTTTATTTCTTAACAAGATGCACAGTTCTTAATTCCCAGATACCAAAAGGATCTCAAGCCACAGAGAAGCATCACTCACTGGACTCATTTTTGCCCTTGGGGCTTATCCAAGGCACAGAAAGATGGAAAATAAATACAAATCACACGTAATTGAAGATGAAACTGAAATTCCTACAAGTCCTGATACACAAATACACACCTGCACCTTCTACAATCACAAGAAAACAGTCTCAAAGCACTGAACGGTTTCTCTGTATGTGGGACTTAGAAAAACACATGCGCTGTAATGGGAATGAGTAATGACAGAAATAACTTGCTGGTGTATCCTCTGAGAACACCATCACTCTCCTGATGTATTCCATTGTATTGTAGCTAAAATACTCAGCTCAGGCATCTGCCACGAGGGCCCCTGTGGAACACAAACCATCTTTAGAAGATCAGACATAATGCCACGATTAGTGCTCCATGGCAGGAGGCAGCTATTTCCCTGATTCACAAGCACACAAGTGTAGCTATCAATAGAGAGCTGCAATCACTTCTATGCAGTGTGAAGGCAGCTCATCTCATCAGCTTTGGCAAGCACGGGGAAGGGACATTTAGAATCTGAGGACTACCACGAGATGGCATTACAGGAACACCCACAGAGAAGGAAAACCACGCTGAAGCTGGATAAAAAGCTACAAACAAGTAAAAGATCACTGTAATTTACAGCGCCTCTCAGACACACAGAAGTAAGTGCTCCAAGATGAGAACTAATCAGAAAGACATGTCTGAGGATCACACATCTGTGATTGCTAGCACACAGAGACCAGGAGGAAAGGGATGAGGTGGAAACCTGAAGGCCTGAAGTTTCCCTTTTCCATCTCTCCATTGTTTTGTGTTGCCCTGCATGGATGGAAAGGCAGAGGGGTGTAACATGTGGCTAAATCCCAGGTTTACACGTGTCTCTGCTGCATAAGAGCAGAGAAACAATGAACAAAACACCACGCAGGAGATGTACACAGCAAAACAAGCAGTTCAAATTGTATGAAAAGATGCAAAACGAAGCCCATTGCTGGGAATCAGAGGGTGGTAGAACTGGCATCAACAATCCTCTTTCCAGGAAATGCCCAACAGCAGTGTGAGCCTTGACACAAATAAAGGCAGTAACTGATACCCACCCAGCACTGTGCTCGGTGCTGTAAGGAAAACAGAACACAGTCTGTTCCTCAATAAGGTGATGCTGTCTAAAGAGCACTCCCATGCAGGTGTGTGGATGGATAGGACGTGGTGAGACACCCCTTGTTTGCTCAATGGGCAACACCTCCAGTGCAAAAGCAAGCTGACAGGAAAGAATGAGTGTTCCCTAACACAGCCCACTCTGTAAGCTGAGAAGTGCTGCTGCTTGTTGCAAACGGCTGTGATGCTGAGCTCAGCACAACTAAGGCTGCTTTTTTTTAAAAGTGGATCACAGGATTGGAGGGGGAAGCAGGGGGAAAGGGAAAAGAAAAGAAAACATCCCAACCACAACGAATCTCTGTAACAGGGAACACAGATTCACTCCTCTCCCAGCCAGGACTGAGCCATACAAACCACTGCACAGGGCTCAGTAATGCCTCCAGTGCCTGCTGACAGCCTTTATTGATGGGCCCAAACATAAATCTGTCTTTGCAAGAGATAAAGGCACTTTTTACCTAGTTCTGAAAGAAGCAGAGAGCTGTTTGTGCAGGAAAATGAATCCAAGTTTGCTCTTTCTTGCTCTGAGCCCACTCTGTAAGTGGATAATGCTTCAGCACAGAAGTACTCCTGATGCCTCAGTCTACATGCACAGAGCTGGTTTGAATTTAATTATTCTGCTGTCACTTCTCAAAAGCTTCTCCATGCACACGCTGCTTCTATTGTGCAGATAATTACAAATGAAAGTAATTTTCATACATGAAGCAATGACAAATCAAAAACACAGCAGTTCTTTTTATCTTGGTGTTTGGCACACGAGCAATTATTGTAACACACAGACTAAGATGGGAATAGGATGAAACAGTTTGCTGGTTTGTTCTTCATTTGCAGAATTACATCAACAGCAAGCCACAAACAGCAGCTAAAGCTCAGGTCAAGGATATGGAAGAGAGTTCTCCAGAAAATGCACACACCTCAGGGCTGTATCCCTGCCCTCCTCATCAGCTCTCTTCTGCTTTTAAACTACTGAAGCTACTGAAGCTTTAAAAACTGTCCCATGCAGTTCAGATGCAGGAATTGATTCAATTCTTCAAGATCAGTAAAGAAAATAGCCCCATTTTTACTGTTCAGATTTGGGCTGCTGAAGCTGATAATGAGCGTTAAGCACAACTTGTTGCTTTAAATAAATTTGTGAATGAAAAACCTCTCCCCTTGCAGGGCCATCATTCTAATGAGTGCTGACAAAGCCCCTCCAACAAAGTGCTGTTAACTTTCTGAGCCTGATAGGTCCCTGATGAAGCAGCCATGGCAGTATGTGAAGATTTGGGAGAAGCATTGTTCTTTCACCACAACAGAGCGCTTCCATCCAGGTAGAGCTGCCTCCTTTCAGCCTGGGTCTGTTATCGATTCAAGAGACGTGGGTAGAGAACAAACAACATGAACCTTAAGCCCCTCCACTCAAGGCAGGGTGAAACATTGCTGAGTGTTCGAGCTCTCAGTCAATCATCAGTGAGCTCTTAAAGGGAAAAAAAAAAAAGAGCTGACAACTGAAATGACAACAAGGTGACACAATCTGCACCCCCCATACAAACACAGGACAGAAGGAGTGGAGAAAAAGTTTTACTAAAAATACCACTTCTGAGGATTAAGTTCAAATTAAACTTCAGTGCAGGTGAAAAAAACAAGCAAACACAATGCAGTGACATCATTTTCCTGGAGTTCCTGGAATTCTACTCACCACCCAGAGCAGGGACACTCGCCTGCACTCAGACCCCCTTATAACAAATATGAAGCAAAGAAAGAAGAAAAGCTTTTCCCTATAAATATCTGTTTGTGCTGTAAAAGCAAGTGTGGGGAAAGTGGTTATGATTTGCTGGATATTAATATCACATCTATATTTGAAGAGATGGAATCCATTTTAATACTGTAGGCTTCTAGTGGGTAAAGCTACAGCTGGGTATGCACCCCAGCTTACTGCTGTGACCCAGGCACACTGTCCATGCAAACACTCTTTAGCTTGCAAACAATATAAATTAATTTGCATTGAGCTTGCATGTTACGGAAGAGGGCATTTTGGAGAGGAAGCACGTGTCTCTCAATGGCATAAAGCACAACACGTAAGTACACCAGCTGCTCAGTATGACACCATGGTTAATGTCCCTAGACTCAGATTCACCAAGGACTCAGGGTCTTGGAACAGTTACTGCAGGCAGTCTGTGGCCCGAGCTCCCCAAACACTGAGCCCCAGCTTTAGACCGGACTACAGCCACATGCTGAATCACAGTGGTCCTTTACAGCACGTTTTCCATTTAAAACTTAACCTTTGGCTTGTAAGGTCAGAAAGACGAGGGTTGAACACAGTCTCTGTGATAAATTCACCTGTGTAACAGGCAAGAGTGCCTTTTAAACTCAGGGCTTACAGCCGGCTGTAGAGAACGTGGCATCTTATAGCATCATGATTCACTTCTGACTCCTGCCAACAAGAATCTAGCCTCTAAAGTTCACAGCACTCTTTAGCAATGAAAAAGCCTTTAGATACCAGCTATTGGAGAAGTACAACTCGCTGCATTGCTGCTGGAATGCTCCAGATTGGTGTGCTTTAACTAAAGAATAAAGGAGTGCAAAACTAGGGTGTACTGTTGTGCATATGGTGTGTCCATGCTGCTCTCTCACCTCCTTACAAACAAACCCACAATACAACAGGATCAGAAAAGGTACAGAGTGGAGTAGGCAGGATGATCAAGGATAGGGAACTGACTCTGAACACAAGTTAACATCATTGCATGCTTTCCCACATTACCCCAGAGAGGCAGAACCCTGGGCTGGGTGGCCTGTTACCCAAACACATGCACTGACTTACGTAGAGATCTCCAGCTTGTCTCAGTCTAACAATATTTTACAGATTGGGGGTGGGCAATAAATGGTTAAATGATTTATTTATAGTCATACTACAAGTCCACAAGCAAGCTGGGAACAGAAACACTCCCAAATTCCAGTGCCAGTTTCCACAGAAGGAGAGGCAGTAAGAGAATGCGGGAAAACTGCCCTGTTACTTCATTCCATTCTGCAAGAAAGGTGTCTGTAGGGCTCAAGGTACAGGAACTCAATTTAAGCCAGGTGTGTGGATAAAGCACACCCTCCCTGTGACAAAGAGGAAGTGTTACCTGCGAGTGCACATGAAGCTGTTCACCTGACTGGGAGGTGCCTTGCTAAAGAGCCTTGAAAACCTCTTGTGGTTTAGGATATGGCACATGGCAGTCTTTGCAAAATGCCCAAATAAACACTTCTGAAGCAGGTACAGATGTGGTAGCAGTGCTAAGAGTAACCACCAATATAAAGATTCCCATCTGAACAAAATGTTTTTCTTTTCTGAAGTCCCGATTCCACTACAAAGGAAGAATCCTCATTTCTTAACGATCTTTTCCAGTCTCCTCCCCAGATGCAAAGAGAAGGCATTTCCCTGCACACACAGACTACAGTTAGAGAAATGCTACAAATCTCAGCCTATTCCTATATTCCATTTCAAGCACATGGGATACCAGAAGACACAGGGAATTTTTCCTCTCCACGTGCACCAGGCAGGAATCAGGTCAAAGTACAACACTGCAGCTTGCGAAACGAGCATTTCCACCAGACACCAATCAGAACCCATGGGTGCAAATCCTCTGCCACTCTCCTTCCCCAGCCCAGCCCCAAAAATGTAACTCAAAGAACAGCAAGTCCTTGCACGTTGCCTGTTTCAAACAGGTTTCAGAAACAATCCCCAGTGGTGAGGCTGCCAAACCGAGTTGGATTTTGATGTGAAAGGAGAAATCTGAGAGCTACTCTGCTTCACGCTGAAAATAAAAAACGACCCAAAGCTGTTGAACAAGCCACAGCGAGAAAGTTAACTATCCACAGAAGTTCAAACTGTTTATACTTGTCTCTGCTCCAGTTGTCCCCCCATTAGCAAGGAAGTGAGCTCACTCCATCTGTGGATTCAGTGCACGTTTCACAGCAGCGCCGAGCAGGGGAAGGGAAAAGGAAGTGCTCGTGTAGCTGTGACATACGCACCCTTTCCTCCAGCACATGGCTTGGCACTGCTCCACCAGCACATGGTCCATTATCTGGAATAAACATGCGTAGGAGCTCTCAAGCCTGCTATAGATTGTTGTGTTGCTTCTGTGATGTACATGCAGTATGCTAGTTGGCCTGTGGTTGGGAGACAAGGGCGATTAAAAATAACCACCATTCTGTCCAACAGTGGGAGGGACCAGAGCACGAATCCAGGAAGCAATGGATAACCGAGACAATGCAAAGAGCCTGCAAAAAGCCTGCCTTGGAGCTCTTCACTTACGTGGCTCACAATGCTGCAGACAGGAGGAAAGGCCAACATTTACGCATCCTGTTCCACAGCGTGCATATAACCACTGAAATCAGGGTTCATCCACCCATCTCATGCCGTAAGAGAAACATGCAAGTTCCTATCAAAACCCAAATGTTCTGAAATGGTGTTGTCATGTAACACAGCACATAGGACTACACGTGAGTGTTCCCTCCTGCCACCTTACACTCCCATGCTGCTTTACAGAATAAAAGCCCAATACATAATTTATCTACTACACACTCTTGGAAAGTAGTTATGACACCACACGTGCATAAAAAGCAGGCAATGAATTTAAATGACCTGTTAAAGACCACAACACACATTGGTGGCTTAGCTGACAGAACTGCAGCTCCTCTGAATAACCCACAAGCAGAGCACGCAGCTGAACTGACTGCCTAGTGAAAAGGGGGAAAAAAAACCCAGTAAGGTTGAAAAATGTGCAACTTGTAGAACTGTAACAGTTCAGCTGACACCTTCTGTTTTGCTAATCAAACCTATAAAAAAAAGTACAGAAGGATGCCAACTGCTCGATCTATTCCTCTCATTCATTTCACTGCAGCCCAAGTATTGATCATTCTAGCAGTGCCTGACCATGGGAGGCACATTAAGTATCAACAGTGCTCTAAAACAGAAGACTGGGGTCAGTCCACACACAGATGTACCAGGCGTTTCTCAAGCAGTAGTTGGAGGAAGAGCCCTGTGAGAAATGTCAAAGGACTTTTTATGATTTATTTATTTTTACTGATGAAGACTGTATATGTAAGTGAGATAGCCATGCCCTTCCAGTGAAGTACAAGACAAAGTGTTCAACCCCACAGCCACCCCGCTACAGAGATAAGCCAGCAGAAGGAGCAGCTGTGAAACGTGAATAACGATGCTGACTTCTGCAGTGCAGCAGCTTGAATTTCCTTATTGTAGCACTGCTTTCTTTTTAAATAGTTGGACATTGCTACTATTTAGAATAGGGAAGCACGTACAGAGGAATGATTTTGTTTTTAGACAAATCAACAACCCTGAAAGGCAGTGCTACAGAGAGGTACTACTTGGAAAACAGTTACGTAATTACTACAGGGCCATTAACAGCAACTGGAAGATTTAAAAAAAAAACCCAGAATCTAAAAACTCCAACTCAGCATCACTTTGAGACCAGGAACAGCAAAACCAGACAAAGATCAGGGTTTGTTGCACAGGTGAAGAGCTTCAAATCATCAGTAAGTGTGTCACCAAGAGAGGGTTTTCCAGATGTAAGCACAGAATCTTCAAGCTGTGCACTGAAAGATAGCCCCTTAGCTTCTGAAACTCATCACAAGCATCAGATATATTTCCTAGCATGCAGAGATGAATTTAGCCAAGCTCCAGAAGGCTTTCAGACAGCTTTTCAGGACCTTGAATCTACTGAGAAGAGAACTGTGCCTGAATCCAGGTGTTCTGCCCTTTCTTATGATGCCTGAAGTGGACAAACTGCTTCTGCTTGGTTCTCACAGCCACAGCAGCCTTTCTCTTTCAGAATATGTAAGTTTGTGTTTGTTTTTTTTCCCCAACAGATTCTTGAACTCAGAACAGGAAGAAATAAGCCATGCCTGTGTGTCAGCCTCAGTGAGTGTGCTGCCAGCCAATATTTTCCCTTAAAGCAGTACAGCAGCATCGAAAACATCTGCAAGCAGCCCCTCCTGGAGATAAACTGCCTTGCTAAGGAAACAGTGGAAACATGTCTCCCCAGGAGCAAGCAGGAATCTTGCTTTGCAAAGCTGCTGAGGGTGGCAGGTTGGGTTTTGTTTAACTAAAGCTCACTCCCTCTCTAGGCGGTGTGCTTTGCAGAGGGAAAATAAATAGGCTGGAAAAAAACAGAGCAGCTCGCAGGGGGGGGGGGGAACCTGCAGGGAAGCAAAGCTGCAATGTAAACAGGGAACAGAACGGCGGTCAGGAGGGCAGGGCTGGTGCTGGGAGCACAGTGCCTGGTGCAGGAGTGCAGTACGGCCCTGGCCGCACAGGGTGGAGGCAGGAAGAGGGGCTGGGAGCTGCTTTCCAAAAAGGAAATTTCACCCAGCCAACGATTTCCAAACTGCAATAATTTTCCACGGGCCAATCAGGGAGGAGCAAGGCAAACGCACCAAATTAGGAAAGTAAATACTAGAAGGGGGAAAGGGAGGAGGAGGAGGAAAGCAGAGCTGGTGGAAATGCCTCCAGACGCTGTCAGGGAATGGGGTCCTGGGCTGAGCCCCTCTGGCCCTAGGAAAGGGGCAGACGGCACTGTGTGAGGGCTGTGTGCTGATACAAAAAACACCAAGAGAGCATTTTGCTGCCCCTGAGCTCACACTGATGTGCTGCACCAACAGTGCTCCCTTTCTGAGAGCCAAGCACCCAAATCCTGTCCCACAGTGCGGCTGCAGGGCAAGAGAGCTGCAAGACCCTGCAAATGGAGAGGGGCAGGCTGCAGGGGCCCAGTGAGGATGTTTACAAACGTGTCAGCTCCTCCTCTGTAAGAGGAACTCAGAAATGAAAAGGAATTTGGCAAGCGAAACCTCAGATGTCTTTTGAGGTTTTCTGAAGCCTCTGCTGGGTTTGCTTCTGCTCAAGACAAACGGATGCAATCATTAATCATCCTCAGTAAACACTCCGTTAGGGGCCGAGCACAATTCAACACCACTATTTCCACTTTCTCCTTATGCAAAAGAAACATTCTCCAGGAGTCAAATATCAGTCGCAGGCATATGCCAGAGTCAAAGATACAGCCCCTGCGAGTAACAGAAACCACACCGAGCTGCATACGATGACTGAATGGAAACTAACTCCCATATGTTGGCAGAGAAACCATCCCCCTCCCCTCCCAGCAACAAGCTTCATCTAAAAAGAGAAGGTTAAATATAAACCCAAAGCAATGCCTGAACAGAGGGCTGAAACCACAGCCACCTCCAGCTCCCTCTTTCTAGAGTATCTGCACTGCACATCTGTGCAGCTCTGCAAGCGGGGAAAAACCCAAACAAGCAATGCCTCCAGACCCATGCAAAACCCGCCTGGCTCTATTGTCACACTGAAGTCATTCTCAGCAGTGTAAATTTGAATACTACTTGCTGAATGAGTGCTAGCTGACAGGAGATGTTTGTGTACTGCAGCTTGCTACAAAGCTGTGGACAAGAAAACAAAGCCAAGGCTGTCTGTCACTATTCCCAGGTGCACTCTGATATTCTGAGGCTGCACTTTTAAAACTGTAACACATCACCCTGTATCATGAGCACACCTTACTATAGTTAGCAAGTAACTTTTACTTAACTGCTTTAATGTTAAATGAGATCCCTGCAACAACATAACATCAACTCTCTGCTGAGAAAGAAGCAGGGAAAATAGTCAGGTCAGTAACACGATGTTCAGGTTATTTCTCTCATACATTCTTGAATCAGATGATTTACCAAACAGGATACTTGCACAGATGAACACTGAAATTGCTACAGCCCCTCAGCACGCGGTCAGCATCCTTCCCATTTCCTTCTATTGCCAAGAAAGCACATGCCAGTGGCCACCCTTGTCCCCAGCTCCAGATAACACCGGCACCACCCAGCAACAACGGAATATTATGGAGATAAAAATAAAACCAGCCGCCCCAACAGAGACCATTTGCTTGCTTTCTTTTCTCCATATATATCAGTAGTTCTGGAGAGATCGTTCTAATTCCATAGCCAAAGATAGACTAACAGCTCCATACTGTGAAACCAATGCTTGAGGGCAGCCCCCCACCCTTTGAGCTCTCAGACAAAACCACACATCCAGGCTACGAAGATTTTAACTGTCCTCCATAATGCTGAACGTCAGATATTTAACAAGTTATTTTTAATGGGGCGCACCACACATCAAGAATATCAGATAAGCAGCATAAGGCTGATAAAGACTGGTATGAGAAGAGAGACAGAGCTTCCAGAAAGCACAAAAGACAATGGAAAGAACCACAGCATCACTGGAGATAATTATCATCTCACCTGATTGTGCCAGTGGGGGATGGGAGGGGGCTGACCACACTGCGGAGATCCGGCTCCGGGATGTGGATCTTCAGAGGAGAAATTTGAGGGTAAAGAGGCCGAAGGGGAGGCGATGAAGCTTCCTCTTTTACTTCTTCTTTGTGGTATAAAGATGTGAACTGGATCTTTATAACCGTGCTAGGGAACCGGAAAGTACATCTGTGAGGGGAAAAAAAAAGAAAAGCCACTGTCACACAAGACGTTGAACATTCTAAGTGTTTTTATATGCAATTACTGAATAATTACTGCATTCACAGCACAAAGACCCACCACCCTCTCTCCAGCATCTCTCAGCTCCGAGCCCCAAGCAGGAATTGCTCATCCTTCACAAATCACTACATAGGTATCACTGGGATTTCAGATGCAGGCTGGAGGTTTGGGCAGACTGAATGATTTCCCCAAGGTCACGTATCCCATCAATGACTGAGCACGATGTAGAAATAAAACAACAAACTCCTGGGCTCCTGCTATATCAAGGACTAGAAATTATCTTTTATTAGCTCAATGCACATAACTCAGAAAGGTACGAGTTACTAGAAAGTATCAAGACCACAAGCAACAGGGAGCATTAAGCCATAAAGACCAGAGAGCAACAGACAGCATCCTCTGCATATTGTACAGCCAATACCCACTCTTATCTCTGCACATGATGCTGAAGGATCATCTAGCAGGTTTCAGATTGAACACCATATATTCAGAAGCACCTCTCTTTAGGCAGTGTGGATGATAACTAAGAGTCAGAACAGGGCCTTTGCAGGCCTATGGGATCTCATTTCTTTATAAAGAACATTGATTTCTTAATTGTTACTTAAAAAAATTTAAAAAGTTGTACATTTACATGTGGCTACATCCAGCCTTCGAGAGACACTGAGGAAATTCAAAAACAAACAAGGACTGACGTTTCCCATACCTGAACAGAAAGCTTTCCAATTCATAGTGCCTACAATAGGCTCAGGGCTGTAAAAACGAGCGTGCTGCAATTCTACTCACTGTGCTTCAATTAAACAATGATGTGCAATCAATAGAAGCCTTCCAGGGATCATTTCACTGATACTAAGGTTAAAGAAGCAGGAAATAAAAACCAGGTTTTACCCTGTGAAAGGCCAGCAGAGCACAGCAGCTGTGCTGGCCTCCAGCATCACGTCTGTAGAAGGGAATGAAGGGACTCGGGTGGTGCTGCTCCAGCACTGAGTGCTGCTGTGAGCTGAACATAATTCTTTTCACCAGTGCGTTATTAAATCCTGCATGGTGACAGAACCAGGTGGTAGGCAAGCAGCTCAGTAGTTGTGACTGAGTCATCTCAACACTGCTACTGATAGAAATGCAGGGGAACATCTCCACTGCTGCTCTACAAACACTCCCTGCTCTTCGTGCCACATAATCCAGCTCTGCTGTAAGGTAATGTTCAGAAACCTGCTACAAAATGTGCAAAATTATCATTCTAGCATAGGAAGCTCATTCCCATCTCATCCCAAAGAAGCTGGCTCAGCATTTTGCAGCACGGAATCACGACGGTTTTGCTGCATCCAGTGGGAGTTTACATTGCCTTCATTCATTTCAAAGGTCCCACCACCTGTGCTCATTAATACATTAAATGAGAACATCATTGCTGGCAATGCAGTCTCATCATGTTTATCCAGCTCTCCTAAAGACTGTTCCCAGCAGGCTCCACACACGAGTGCAATTCAAAGCGGCAGTGGCCCTGCAGTGCACACCAGCAGCACACACACAGCTACTGAGATGAGCCTGAATCAGGCCCAGGGAAACACCACGCTGGATTTTAAGCTTTTGTTCTGTTGCAGGGATTTGCTTGTAGAAAGAGCAAGGAGTACATATGCTTGCACTGAGCAACTCATGGACTAAGACTCAGTACAAAGCTTCCTTGTTTCTCAAACGTTCACTAGGAAAAGCCAAGCTTTCTCTGGGGGGTGGGGGGGTTCTGTGCTGCAGTGCCAGGTACCCAGCATTTGAGCCCAGGATCAAGCCTTGTGCAACAGTGCTCCACGCAGCCCTGGCCTGCTGCTGATCCCAGTGGTTCTCAGTGCAGAGCCTCCAGGTAGCTGTGCAGCACTGCCCAGGCTGCCAGTTCATGAACACAGGAGATCTCCACAGAGCTAACGTTTAGTTTTTCTAAACTCATAAGCCAAGCTGAAATCTGAAGCCTGAACTAACGCAGTAAATGTGTGCCAAGAGGCTGGCCTGCCTCGCTGTGCTGTTCCTCGGGTCCTCCCAACACGACTGGATTCAGACACGTGATTTACCCGCACTGCATTGGGTGGGGGGGAAGGAACAGAAGAGCTGGGCTGGCTGCTGCAATCATGTTGCTACAGATAGGGACTGGAGCAGAACCCAGCACATGTTGCTAGCTGTAAGGCATTCTGCTAGCATGCATGCGGTCACTATGCAAGGACTGTTACAGCAACCACGGCCATGCAACAAGCAGGGACAGCCTCTGCACGGCCCCTGAGCTGCCTCCATCAGCACATCCACACCAGTGCTGGGGAACTGCGGCAGTGAGAAATCAGGGAAGTGTGATTTCTGCACCATGGCAAAGCTTGCTTCTCATTACACTAAAGCTGAATGCAGTTTTAATGAGCTTTTCTAATTGTTCCCTTCGTTAACCTCTTTCATTCCAAAGAGGATAAATGCAAATTGCATCAGTCCTACTCAGAAAGGAAGCACAGTGCAGGAGTTAAGCCTGTGGGAGTTATGCACCTACAGAAGATAAGGAGGACAAGGCTGACAGCCCAGACAGAGCTGAGCACGCATTCCTTCAGACGGCTGTATATATTGGAAGTCATTTAAGCAGAATTTTACTACTTGATCCATGTTGCACGACTCCGATCAAAGACGCATAGCAATTACTACTGCTGCTTAACATTTCCACCATGAGAATGGCTCAATCTGGAAGCACTCATCAGACAACATAAAAGGCATGATGAAGATCATTCCAAAGGTGTCTGAGATGCAGCTCTGAGGCACCTCAGAAATTCCCAGCTGATCACAAGGGGACAAATGAAGGTCTGCAAAAACCTCTCGGTTGGCTGCAGGCAGGGAGCAGCTTGCTTCTATTGCAGCAGCACAGAGCTCCACAGATTAACATGCTGCAGTCAGCTGCAGCCTGAAGTTCTAGCCCTATAAAGCAATCTGCTCTACTCAGTATGATTATATCACGTTATATACATCTTAATTTCTTGTGGGAAAAGGATTCCCATTTCTCTAGGATGTCTTGCAAGGCAATGGATGTATTTGTCTTCAAACCAAGAGCACACGCACGCATAGCAAGCTCCATCAATCGCAAAGAAACAACTTGTGCCTCGGGATTACAGGCAGGAGAAAATCAGAGAGAGTGGATTGCTGGCTCCCTGCTGGGTGCACGCTATATATACACACTGCAGACCGAGGGGAGAAGGAGCGCTCATGCCACACGTGGCTGCAGTGATACAAAAGATGTTGCTACAAGTTTTGCTTTGCTTTCACTAAGACAGAATGTCAGAAGTTTCCTGGCCGCGCTCCTGGCGCTGACACGCAGCGCTGCGCTGTTGGGCTCCTTCATGTGGCAAACCAGCGCCAGCGACCACAAGCATTTCACCTATGTGAGGTCTGAAAATAAAATGCTGGGAAACACCAGGCTTTACATAAACATCCACCCTAAAGCAGCCTTCACTGAGAATGGGTAGGGGAAAAAACAACAAAAACAGCAAAGCACGCCATGACAACCCCGTAAACTAAGCGACATCATACATAATACCCAGAAATACTCTCCCCCTCCTCAAAGCACCTTTTACTGATGCAAAGGAAACTGAGATGCCTTTGCCAAAACGCAGCACCACCACAAACAGAAGCTATGGCATGCACTGGTTCCTTTGTTAGAGCACCCTGTGCTCTGCTCAACACCAAATGGCTGCTGCTAAGGACAAGAAAAGAGACTTGGAAGGGAGGCAGGAAATTGTGCTGGATTTACACTGTAGAAAAGCACTGTGAGTGAGAAACTATCTACACACACACATATATATATAAAACACCATTCCAGTCCATTATGCAAAAGGCAGTAACCAGAGCAGAAAGCTGCAGACTGCTACCTGAGCTGACATCAGCAAGTCAGTGCCACCTCAGCTGATCTCACTGCTCCACGATGCCCCGAACCTTGCTGCCCTGAGGAGCTGTGAGCATTAAATACAACAAGTAGCATTGCTATGTTCATCCCTGCTCCTAACAGTGTTGAGATGCAGGTTGAACAAGAAACGCTTTATGAAATGCTTCATTGAAAATAACACTTTCTGCAATTTGCATCAGACCAGAAAGGCAGGCCTGGGGTTTCATCCACAAAAAAAAAAAGAGCTCACCATAATCCCTTTGCTGCAGCTGCCACTTTTTCCTATTAAACTCGCAGCCCCTGTTACTACACTGCTGACTCTCAATACCTACATCTTTCTCATCATGCAAAGGGACACAGCTGTATTCCAAGCCTGCAGTTAGCTCCAGAATCAGTGAACTGCTCAGGTTCAAACATGGACAATCAGCTCTTTAAGTACAGCAGCAAGAGTTGTGATGGAACTAAACTACACCATTAGTAGCTAAAATTTGACCAAGGATTCCCCAAAATGTCCTCTTAAAAGAGATATTAAACCCTCCCATGACTTCTCTGAAACCAATTTCTCATTCCTAGCAAGTACATATGGCTCACCCTGAATAATATCATGTTTATTTCCATGCATGAAGTCCCAAAGACATGTTGTGTTTCTCAGCTCAAGTGAGAATTTGCCTTCACCCATCACCACTGCCAGTTAGTGCAAAGGATTCCATTTCAGCAGAGGACAAGACAGACACATCCCACCCTTTGGGCAACGTGTGGGGTAAAGATGAACATTTCAGGTCATGATCAATGCACAGCAGTGCATGGGGCGGCCCCTATAGAGATGTGCCCATTAGCTCCCATTACAGCTCCCTTCTGTTGTCAGTTAAGGGAAGAGCAAATTCCCTGCATCTATGAAATCGAAGTTCCCAGTAAGTCATATAAACACACTCCCTATTTGTGTGATGCTTTGAAACAGTCTGAAACGAGGAGCCTTGGACAACATGAAAGACTCACTGGGAAAGGTTACCCAATATCAAACTAAATTTGGTTACAAGGAGTTAAGGCTTTACCAGGCATCTGA